TCCAGTGTATGGCTGAAACATAAATTAATTAACCATAACCCTGCTGAAGCTGAAGCTCCAATACTTTGGCCACCTAATACGAAGAACCAACTCATTGGAAAAGACCCTGATGCTGGGAAAGATTGAAAGCAGGAGGAAAAGGGAGCAACAGCGGATGAGATTGTTGGATGCCATCACCGACTCAATAGACATGAATTTGAACAAACTCCAGGAGATGGTGAAGGACAGGGAAGCCTGGCATGCTGCAGTCCACGGGGTCACAAAGAGTCAGACATGACTTAGTAACTGAGCAACTATTGATAGATCTGTAGGTTGTTTAGTGTTTTGCTGATATAAACAGTGCTAAGTGAATCAGTGTCTTTACTTAGAACGTAAGAACTGTATCTGTGAGATTTTTTTTTTTAAGAAAAGGACTTAGTATGCCAAAAGATATTCTCATTAAAATTTTTAGAACTATTGAAAATTAAAATCTATAGAGGTTGTATCAATTTACACCCTCAAAAATAGCATTTGGTGTTCTGTTTTGCCACAGCCTACCTCAGAAGGCCATTAAAGTGATTCATGCCACTGGATCTTATTCTGACTTAATTCTTTTAACTTGTTGCTTAGACTAACCATATGTCTCTTTGGGTGAACTACAATCCTACATCTTTTCCTGGTTTCCTTTTTTGGACACTTACAATTTTCTTCTTGACTTTTTCCTGTGTGTTGAGTCAGGAGGACTCCCTTGCCTAACACCTTTCTTCTGGTTGCTATAGTTTAAGTTTGTGATTGAACCAACTAATGCTTTTTTTTCTTTCCTTCTTTATGAATTCAGGACTTTACGTCACAGTAGACAGATCTCTTTCTTTCTGAGATTATAATTATCTACCTTTTTACACTTAAATATTGATCCATCTGGAAACTTATTTTAAAGTAATGTAAAGAGGTTAAGAATCAATGATATTGAAAGCTTGCTTCAAACAAAAATTGTTCCCTCTATTCATAATATGGAATTTAATTGAAATATGGCTGCCCAATCAAGGACTACATTTTCTAATACCTTTGACTTACATGTGTGGCCATGTGACCAGTAGTCACTACAAAATGTACGTGGGGGTGATGTGTGTCACCTGTAGGCCGAGACCTTAAGAAGTTCTCTGTCCCGTCTGCCATCTGGACACAGGCAGCAGAAGAGGCCATTTGGATTGAGACGCCAGAAGCTGGCAGGAACCTGGGTCCCCGATTTACAGAGGTCAGGATAGCCACTCACTGACCAGGAACACCAACAGTGGCTGTTACCCAAGTGAGAATCAGACTCTCATTGTGGTGAGCCACTACAAGGGTGGGTTTATTTATTGAAGTGGCCAGTATAGCTTCAGTAATTCAGAATCCAGAGAGGAGCTAACGTTCCCTGAGCACTTGTGTCTGAGCACACTTTATTGTATTCAGTGAGCACTCTGCCCACTGTCAATGAACAGGAAATGTTAGTTACATAATGTTCATAAAGGATTGGGAAGGAGGGTGGTTTATCAGTGGGTGACTTTCACAATTAACTACATGTTAAAATGAAAATTCTATTCAGTGCACTTGTTATCACTAGACTGGACCATGGAAAAATCTGAACATAAAAAGCAGAGGTATATCAAACCAATTCAGGCTTATTTTAATTCATCTCTTAATAATAATACTTCTTTTAAAACAAGGCATCCAGTACAAACTTAAAATAGGTGGTATACCAGGATGACAGTAGCAACCAATTTTGGCTGTTGGAGACAGAATTCACAATTTTGTAGGAAATTTATCAATGACCTATATTAAGCAAAATAGGCTTCATCTGTAAATGCGAATGGATAACCCAAGATTACATCTGGAGGAATACATGAAGGAGGAGGGGACGAGCTAATAAAACACCTAGAGTGACTGAACAACAAATATTTGCCAATTGAGATTTTATTAAAAATATTCAGGCATGATAGTACACAGTTGTTTCTCTTAGCTGCCCAGTATCAGATAGAGTTTGCAAATGCTTGAGTTTTTGTGGAACTGCTTTGAAAATCAAGCTGTTGCCCTGCAAAGTTATTGAGCTAGTTTGTAAAACTGAGACTAGTTTCTGAATAGAGTCCTCTACTCTTTTTTGTGGCAATTTGTTCAAAATCAGTGTGAATAATCAAAATGTTCAGTGAAGAGAACACCATAGAAACATAAAGTTTTGAAGACTTTAGCAAAATGGAATTCCTGAAAACATGGGATATAAACAGGAAGTAACTGAATTTGTCACTGCAAAAGTGAGGGACAAAATGACAAAATCAAATAAGAGGAGTGCAGTGTACCTGATTGAACTTTCATAACTGTGGTTTGTAATTTCATAACTTGTGAGAATTTTTGAATGAGCTTCCATTTGGGGGGTAAATTTACATTCTATAATGAATAGAATGAAATTGAAAAGCCCTATTATTTTGTGACACCTCTGTTTTGTTTGGCAAAGTATTCAAGATAATTAGAAATGGAGACAATACTGTTGAGTTTTGTGTTATAAAATATTTGTCTAAGAATGAGTCTTAATGAAATAAAAATGATATGATGAAAATATTTGAACTAAAATATTTGAACATTTCCATACATAAAAGCATAATTATGTACCTTCACTGAGAATTTTCCTGAGCTTACCAGGACTCTCAACATATGTAGAAAGAATTAAATTTTTTCAACAAAATATGGGCTACAGAGAAGGGTTTTTTGGAAGTATCAATAAATTTCAATTTATTAATGATAAAATGCAATCTTGGGGACTATTACTATTTTATGACAACTGAAAATAATGAGAACATATTTATAATTAAAGTCACTGAAAGAAAGGGGAGAGACAGTGTGACAGAAAAACATTTGAAGAAATAAAGGCTAAAATATTTCCAAATATGATGGAAAATATCAAGCCACAGGTCCTAAGTGCTTAAAGATATCTAAGAAGATTGAATAGAAAAAAAAAAAAACACATATAATCTCATCATAGTCAAATTGCTGAAAACCAGTAATAAAAAAAAGATTAAATGAATATAGAGGGGAAAAAGGCATATTCCATAGAGAAGATCAATGTGAAAGTGAAGACTGAATTCATCAGCATTGCATCAAGAAGACAATGCTATGACATATTTAAAGTGTTGAAAGAAAAAAAGTCTTCTCAACTTAGAAATCTCTATCTGTTTAAACTACTCTTCAAAAATGAAGAGAAAATAAAGGTATTGTTTAATTCATGGTCAAAGAAGAAATCATCAGGGAAATAGGAGCTTATTTTGGAATGAATGATAATGAACATCTCTCATAAATTTTGTGGATACAGTGAAAATAGTAGCTAGAAGGAAATTTATAGCCAGTTGGAAAAATGGCAAATTCCATACAAAATAAACATACCAAAATTGACACAGGAAGAAAAAGAACATTTTAATGGCCTTCCATTTGTTAAAGAAAGTTTATCTGAGATAAAAGCCCTTCTCAGAAAAACTCCACACCCAAAGAGACTTCACTAATGAATTCTACCAAACATTTGATAAGAAATGAAAAAAATGATGTCAACCGTACATCATATATTTCAGAAAACAGAACAGGAAGAATATTTATTGTCTTGTTTCCTGATACCATGACCTGAGAAGGGCATTACAAAAAAGGGAATTGTAGACCAATATGCCTCATGAACATAGGAACAAATATCACTGACAAAATATTAACAAAAATGGCAATATACGAAGATAATAACATGCCATGACCAAATGTGGATTATTCTAGGAATGCAAGGTTAGTATAAAATGATTCCATGTAAGTTGATTTGATTTAAAAAAATCATTCAGTGTAAGTTGTCACATTCCACAGACTAAAATAGAAAAATAGACATAATCTCAGTTGACAGACAGAAATTTGACAAAACTTAATACCCATTCATGTTAAAACATGCCAGAAAACTAGAAGTAGAAAGGGGCTTCCACAACCTGACAGAAGATGGCTATGAAAACCTTCCAGGTAATCATTATATTTGATGAAATATTGATTCCGTTCCTCACAAAGCTGACAGCAAGACAATGATGTCACTATGTTTTCCTATATTTTCCTGGTTTTAAGCCTGTGCAATAAGGTAAATAAGAGATAATATTTATGTAGGGAGAAATAAAATGGTCTTTATGTGATCTTGACATAATTGCATAGATTAAAAACTACTAAAAAAACTTTAAAAATCTACAAGAATAAATGAACCTAAAAAGATTACACATAATAAGGCAAGTATACTGAAACCAATTGTATTTTTATGTACTAGTGAAAAAAAAATGAAAAAGGGGTTTAAAACATTTACAGTGTTAAAAAATTAATATACTTGGAGAGTAAATCCATGTATATCTATAAGATACTTCTGAAAGACATGAAATAAGATAGTAAGTAAGACACAAACCATGTTCACAGATTGGAAGATTTCATATTGCTAATATATCTATTTTCTCCAAATTGATCTGTAGACTCACCATGACCTAATTAGGACCCCAGAAACCTTTTTTTTTTTAATATAAGGACAAGTGATTCTAAAATTAGTATCTAAATGCAAAGAACCTATAACAGCCAAAATAATTTGGAAAAGAGGGAAAATGCTGGATAACTTACCTAACCTAATTTCCATAATTAATATAAAGCTTCAGTAATCGATACAGTGTGGTATCCACTTTATTACAGAAAAACAGATAATAGAGCCACACATAAATTGTCACTTGGTTTTCTGACAGAGGTGCCAAGTTAGTCCCTATGGTGAAAGGACAGTCTTTTCACTAAAGATCCCGGGACAGTTGGATAACTATAATGGGAAGAAAACGAACCTCTACCCATACTTCCCAACAAACATAGGTCTATGATTCATATGTAATATAATATAAAATGTAAATATAAAACTATTAGCTTTGAGAAGAAAATATATATGATTTTTTGTGATCTTGGATTAGGCAAAGATTTCTCAGAAAACACTAACCATAAAAAAAAAGATAAATTTGATTCCAAAACTTTAAAAACTTCTGTTCGTCAAAATACACTATAAGAAAATGCATATAAAAACCCCAGACTAGGAGAAGAAATAATAGTTACGCTTTTACCCAATAATGCATATGAGAAGTACAATGAAAATAATATTTCATTTTAGAGTATAGTACATAAAATATTTGAATTCCAGGCATAAACTACTAATGATGAAATAAAAGGACAAATAATTGGAAAGTTATTCTTGGTTATACAATCATATACAAGACCATAATAAATATGAAAACACTTCTTAAATTAGTAAAAATATTTTAATGTGAGACATTAATTTTTCTCAGGATATTTTAAATAACATTTTAAAACGGTATTTACAAGCCAAAAAAAAGCTTTTGTTTTTAGTTTATTGACTATTCTCAATAGTGCATTTTAATCAGTTTGGATTGGGCCAATCAGGAATTCTATAATTGGTCTTTGATTTGTTAGTGACTATTCAAAGTAACTTTCAAAAAAAGGTTAAGAATACTGGGATAAAAATTAGACCATGAGCAGCTCCAAATACCATCACAAGAAACATAATCTTGAAAAATGTCCTGAAGATGTATGCGTTAGCTGCAGACAGGACAGACACCCCTATTATTGTTGAAACTGCACTTTGTAACACGGGGTAGCCTAGCAGATACAGTGCCTCAGTGGCTTTTCGGTCTACTGAGGGCTCTGAACTGGAAACAAATGCATAGGAAATGTGAGCAGAAAAATCAAAAGAAAACCCTATACAAATGACAAGATTAATCATGGATATGGAATCAAGGTTGACATTCCAGAAGGCCATAAAACCCGTGACGCCCACAATCACAGAAGCAATAGCAAAAGTTACCCACAAAGAACACAGGGGATGAGGAATTAACAATAAGGAAACAACGAACATAGCTGCTGATGCAACAACCACATTTCGAACAGTGTTTTCTACTATTGCAGAATACTGATCAAAATATATGAATGCCGGGTTGTACACCATTAGGGGAACTTCACACTTCTCAGCCATGTTTCGGAACTGGAGTAACATCAGCTTCTTATTGGTTGAAGAAGAAATACCCATGGTTTGAACGAAGGCCCGGGAACAAATGATTTCCTGTGATGATGTTATATTAATATCATATGCAAAAAGTGGAAAATCCATTAAAAAAGTGGGAATATTGCTTAGAAACGATGTCTTATCATTTATATTTTGACGGAGGTTTTCCATATATTTTACATATTCTTGTAACCAAAACTCTGTAAGGTTTTCATCTACATACTCACTGTTTTCAAAATCTGCCAGACAGTTTTCCAGTTTTTTCCTAGCATCTTTATCCCAGTAGTCAAGAGCCTCAGTAACTATTACCATAACCCTGGGACCATAAGTAGAAAAATGGTCTTCTTCTACATTAAAATATGGTGTGATGTAGGAGTCGTCACTTGCCAAATTTCGGAGGTCTAAACCTTCCTGCACTTGGAAACACCCATATACACTAGCTATGATGTACGAAACGTATAGGAGCACTACAAAAATCTTGGACTTGGTGCTTATGAGAAAAGGACCAAAACAGTCTCTAAAGAACAGGTTCATTGGATGGATGTCAGCTGTATATTCATCTCGGAGAGAATTACAAGGGAGGCAGCAGGACTTTTTTAATGAGGAACATTTTTGGTCAGGTGTTTCTGGCTTCTTCAACCAGCGTAGACAGACTACTTCTCTTTTCCCATCCAGGGCCATAAATGCTCCAAAACAGGTGATGTTATAAATATAACAGAAGAGCAGGGTTGTTCCCGTATAGATGCAAAAGTATTGAACGGATCTGAAAGAGGTCATAATTCCTGTATAGAAGGCCAGGACATTGGTGACAGTGGTGATGGTAATGGATACTGCCACTTTTGAATAGACATCGGACATCCGCTCACTTATGCTATCCGTGAAGCTGGTCTTCTGCCAGGCAGAAATCATGATAAACATGTCATCAACCCCAACACCTGTTAGAGAAAGAAACAGAGTCTTTGTACATTTTAACATCCATTAAAAATTAACCAGATCAACGCAAACCGTTTTCTTTGCCTGTCTCTCAAGGTCTCATTGATCTTGCGGAGTCTGTTTGGATACTGCTTTCTCTGACGCCTTCTCTGGTTGCCTCTGAATCCACAGCACAGCTCATCACTCCTTGCTCTGTAATAACTCTGCACTTTGTACACATAGCACAGTACACTCTACTCCTAGTCATCATTCAGGGTGTTTCAATGAAGAGTCAGGAAACCTGGCTGACTGGGTATTAGGTGAAGCAGGATTAGCCAGGCATCTCTGATTCCATCAGAACATTTGAGAGACCATTTTCTCTTATAAAGCATTTTACTCTAAGGCACTAATACTGAGTTAGCATCCTGTTGTTTAAAATACGAGCTGGATTTATCTGTTCTCCAATTAGCATCTAGCTATCAATGTGGTATGATTTTAAAGGCACCCCACAGTTTGTACACACACACACAAATATACATACACATGTAGTTTTCTGTTAGTCTAGTTCTGGCACCCAGAACGCTGTCATTCAAACTTCACTTGCCCAGGTTAAGGCATTAAGTCAGTAACATGCAGGTACCCTTGAGATCACAAATATGTACCAAAGTAAAACTTAAGAATCCCTTACATAATAAGTGAATACTAAAGTAACCAGTCTCTTCCACAGTGATGTTTCCTGATTGATTTGGAATAAAGAGGCCAGGAGAACATTTGAGGACTCTGAAGTCATCACTGAAGGTTAGGAGAAGAGGACTACAGAGAAGAAAGGGGATCATTAAGGACAGCCTAAGCACGTTGCAGATAAATTTCACGTCCCTCAAGCTTCCTACCGCTTTCACTCCTGTACACCTGTTTGTGTGTATTGATACAAAATCAATACTTGGAACCGAGTGCTGATTGATTTTAATATCAACCTTGGAAGAACTTCTCCATGGATTACATGGGAAGGTACTGGGAAGTGCACTTTGCCTCTAATTCAGATGTTCTGTGTGTATGGTCTGGCAGAAGGCCTGCAGTGACACAGGCTTGTGTAGTCTGTCACAAACTGCATCCTGACATGCCCCCTGCAGCCAGCTTTCTGGATTTTGCTTGCATTCAGCTGGACGAAGGGCAAGATTCTGAAGTACTAAGGACCACAAATAAACTCATTGATGTGGAACAGGTATTTAAGAACCGGTTTTATTATTTATGGAACTTGGTTCAGAAATTGTCCTCACACATTTCTTGAGCTACTGAAATCACAGCCCCACCACGCACATGTGCCCCTACACTCACATGTCTATGTATATACAGATAATATGAAATCAGTTTCTACACTTTAGTTGTTTATGGCTGTGGGAATAGTGAGTATGTAAGTGTGAGTGTGGGCTACGAAGGCATATATCCAGTGCACAGTTCCTCCCCTATTTCCCCTAGGAAACCAGTTATTAATTCTTCCAAGTTGCTTACCATCCAGAATAGAAACATACTTGCCTTCTTATGCTTATTGTAAAATAAATCCTGAAAGCACAGGCAAATACAAAGAAAACCTTTAAACAATTGTAATTCTACCTGTCAAGGATAATCCTTGCTAATATTTTAAGTATTATCTATCCAGAATTTGCTCTATACAAATATATAAGCATATTTGTATATCTCTCTGTTTTAAACATCTTGTTTCATAACCATCATTTTCCATTTAACACTTTATATCTACCTCTTTTGAAAGACTGAATAGGATCCCAAAACTTTAATGTGATCTGACCAGACCAATCCCAAGTTGATTTAGGATTAGCTTGTTTTTGTTTTTTCCTATTTTAAATCACACTATAATGAACATGCTTATTTTATTTTGTGAAAACCTGTCCAATAACTAGGACAAATTCCCAGAAGTGGAGTTGACAGGTCAAAGGTATTCCATTTAAAATTTTTAAGTCTTTTGATTTGTTGCAAAGTTATATCTTAAAAGTGCACCGATTTACAAATCTCCCTCAGCAGAATATGAGAGTGTTCACTTGCATACAATCTTCCTCAAACCTTCAATCTTGCTATAATATTCATTAATCTAATAAGAAGACAAAGTATCTCAGTTTTGGTTTAACTTGCATCCCTTGATTAATCAATCAAAAGGTCAAATACTTCTTTCTTACATTTTCAGTGATTAGTATTTTGGATTCTGTGTGTGTGTGTGTGAAATGCTTGTTCATGTCCCTGGTCTGTGTTTTACCATTTGGGGTACCAGATCTTTCCAACTCTAAAGGCATGTAATTCCATTTGATTTTCTTTTTCTCCTGATTCCTCATTTTGGATCTGTAGAGTCACCTACCTATAATTATTTTGTTTAATCTAACACAATACCCTTCCTTTACCCACCCCACACCCCCACATACACAGTGTGCAGCCTCATGCTTTGTTTTACTCACCTAGGATAAGAAATGGTGAATTTGCAACTATGAGCACAAATGGCACCCCAATGTACAACATCAGGCCAAAGCCGCTCACCACTGCCAAGGCAACAGAAATGACTCCAAAGACTGCAACCCACATTTTGTTTCGTACACAGTCACACCTGTAAATTTGGAGGGAAAAGTCATGGAACTTGTGGCGGTAGCTTCCATACTGAAATTCCAGCAATTCATAACATTGTTGACTCAGACACCTCTTCAGAGCCCTCTTGGGCAATAATCCCCACACCTGTCTGCTGGAGAACTTTAATTTCCAGGCACTAGCCCAGAGCAGCTGAACAAAAACAAAGGGTGGTGGGGGCGGGGGGTGGGATGGGGACAGAAAAGTTGGGAATCTGTACTTTTATCAAACTATACTGGTAGATTCTTATGCAGTGAGCCAAGCATGAATCCACTGACTGGTCTTTCAGAACCACAAAAAGATACTAAAACATTGCAAATAGCTAATTCCACTCTGATCTCCAAAGGAGTGTGAATAGAAGCAAGCAGTACGAAAGTGCCCATGTTCAGGTGTCTTCTCACCCACTTATGACTCCCATTAGCCATAAACACAATCCTAAATACCTCCTGTATGTCAAAGCTGGTTTAATAAATATTGTGGCTAACAAAAAGAATGAAAGCCTCCTTCTAAAAGTTTTTCACGGTTCTCCTCTGCTAAAGAAGTGTGCTCTAGAAAAGAGGCTGTGTGTGTGTATGCTCAGTCAATTCAGTTGTGTCTGACGACTTGCGACCCTATGGACTGTAGCCCACTAGGCTCCTCTGTCCAGGGGAGTCTTCAGGCAGGAACACTGGAGTGGGTTGCCATTTCCTTCTCCAGTGCATGTAAGTGAAAAGCGAAATTGAAGTCGCTCAGTCGTGTCCAACTCTTCACCACCCCATGGACTGTAGCCCACCAGGCTCCTCCGTCCATGGGATTCTCCAGGCAGGAGTACTGGAGTGGGTTACCATTTCCTTCTCCCAGAAAAGTGGCTACTAATTGCCAAAAAAAAAAAAAAAGTAATATATACTCCATTTTGAATAACACAACTTATGTCTATTTCTTGGTTGGACCAACAAAAATGGGAATATATATATAGCATTTTAAAAAGACTGGATTTAATACTTTAACTCCCCAACAACCACAACTTTACATTTTAAAGTATTGACGACAATCTCTAGGTTTCTGTTTTACTTCATTGCCAACTGCTTTCAGAACAAATGACTGATAGCTGTCTCTAGAAATTTTAGTAGGAGAGAGAAACAGTTTGATTTGAAGACTAGGAAAGTCAACTATGGAAATGGAGCTTCTGATTCCCAAAGATCAAGAATATAACTCAAGACCTTATTCATGCAAGGCCACAGTAAAATAACCAAACTTTCTTATTAAAACAACTATGTGTGCCCGTATCTCACTTTTTCTCAAACTCCTGGGGCTGTCTGTTAAACTCGGCCTCACATCAACATACACACACGCACCAAGACAAAATCTGATTACAACCCATACGTTCTCGTGGACTTCCCCAGAGCTCAGAGGGTAAAGAATCTGCCTGCAGTGCAGGAGATCTGGGTTCAGTCCCGGAATCAGGAAGATCCCCTGGACAAGGAAATGGCAATCCACTCCAGTATTCTTGCCTGGAGAATCCCACGGACTGATAGGCCTGGTGGGTACAGACCCTGGGGTCGTGAAGAGTCGGACACGATAAGTGACTAACACATACGCACAATACTTTCTCAAAGCAACAATACTGACTCACAGGAGTTTAAGATAAAAGCAACACAAATGAACCTTGAAATCAGAAAGAGTAACAGGATAAAAGCGACATATGACATGCTTGGCCCTAGTCCCTCTTTCAGGTTTCTGGACTGTTGGTATACATTTTTCAGAGGATGGAAGGAGTGAAGTATATTATTGGCTAGAGTGATTTGACTTCAATTAGTCACTGTGTTGACTCTCTAAATGATCCTTATTTTAATGTTCTATAGGCAATGGAAGGAAAGATGTGAATGCAGAACACCAGTGCGTACACTTGCAAATTTTCTAGTCCCCAAGAAGGACTTTGGTTAAGCAGTCTATCAGAATGACTTGGGAGAGTCTCAGCTTTAGATTCCTCCAGTCCTGGAACACAGCTCTGCAGACTCTGATCTACAGTTTGTAGGGAAGTCGCAGAATCCGTGTGTCTAAAAATTTCTTCATGTGATTCCAGTGCTCAGGCTGACTTGGGAATCACTGGCAGCAAAACGACCAGTCAAGACAGCTGACGAGCTACACGTTAAAGAAGGCATGAGACAGGAGCTCCCCGGGGGCCCGGTGGTCAGGACTCCTCAGCACTGTCACTGCTGGGGCCTGGGTTTGGCCAAAAAAAGGGTACAAATGGATGAAGTGAAGGATAATAGCTCTAACATATACAGAATATTAAATACCCAAACAATAGAAGTAAGTCCTTCCTTGTCAGCAATTATTT